TCATTGTTTGCCTCATTTCCTAACAGCAATAGGGAAGAAAGCTATCTTAGAAATGTTGTTTTCCCAATAAATGTCACAAGTATGGAGATGTCTATTTAAAGTTACAGTATGTATCCTGGGACACTTTTATGCATGCATGACTTCAGTTTACATTCTCTCTGATATACAGCTGAGTAAGATCAATGTTCATCAAAAATCCTTTCACTTTTCCAGGAAAGTCTAGTAGTTTCCCAACACAGAGTTCGACAGAATTTCTGATGAGAATAATTAACCAAATTAAAAGATCACTAGCATTTAAGTTTAGCACAGGATTATCTTTTGTGAAGCAAAAGCATTATCTAAGTGTTTTTAAAATGGAAACATGCCATAGCTCAGGAACATTTTTAAAACTGTGAGACACCTATCAATGTACAAAAGAGAAAGAAAGACCACATGTTGAGTGCACGTTTGATAGTCTGTGCAATTTATTGTGAAGTGCCACTTGCACTAGGCCTGCCACAGAGGCATTGGTTTGAAAGGTTAATGACTGCAGCAATCACAATTCAAATTTACAAGAAATGGGATGACAGGATGCCAAATACAAAATGGAGGGGTCCCCACTGTGATGGCAGCTGAGCAATAATTCATCAACAGGAGTGCAAGAACACTGTAAAGCCAGAGTGCTGGGGACAACCCCAGCTGGGGGAGGGCTTAGGACTTCTGTTAAGCTCATTTTTGAAAGACAGTCATGTAGAAGCTTTTAAGCATTTTAAATGTTGACTTTGACTACTAGCAAAACAGCCATTGCTAAGATAGGCATTTCAATCTCTTTGTGCCTTTCCTGCAGTTACCCTCTACATCTTGCTTCCTAGAGCATCAGCTGTACTACAGTCTGATCTGAGACTCTGAAGCTTTCAGGTGTGTACATAGACACAGAGATGCTCCTTCTGCTTGAATTACTTTTTGCTGAATTTGACGTGTAATTTGCCTACACTGGAAAACCTAATTGATGAAAGTATCTTTAAAAGCTTACCCTTTTATTTTTGTATAAGTAAAACCTACATAATAGATCAAACCCTGTAATTACCAACACTACAGAAATATGGGATTACTTGCTGCTCTCTCATCTGAAGTCAGTCAAAAATAAATTTAAACTGTGAGAAGTTTTGGTCATCCCTATCTCAGAACAGAGATTCTAGAACTAGACAGGATTCAGGGAAATCAGCAGACTGGAGTGAGATTAATAGACAAAAATTTTGTCTACAGGAAAAGAAGGGACTAAGTATGAAATGTGTTAGAGGTGTGTAAAACGGTGAATGTCTCAGAGAATAATAGTAATGGTTATTCACTGTTTCATAGCAGAAATATTATAAGTATCTTATTAAAATAAAAGGCTGCAGGTTTGACATAGAAATGAATTATTTTTCAAAGAAGGCATAATTAGGTATAGAACTAAATTCCCACGGGATGCTGTAGATGTCAGAATACCCTAGTAGGTTCCACAAGCAATTATCACGGTTTATGGAAGAAACTTTAGTTAAAGTATGGAAGATACAAAGATGCAGTTATAACTTTCAGTACAGGAAGTATTTCAGTAGCAGAGTGCAAGGTGACAGAACAGTTCCCATAAGGGGAATTATCACTCTAAATTCCCCTTATTCTTGTATTCTTTCCCTTATCTGGTTACTTGTGAAAACAGGACACTGAGGTAAAGAGACTTAGTACTGATTTTCTTCTGTTACATCAACAGTTATTTCTTTATCATGTCTGGGACTTAAATTTGTGCTTAACATATTTTGCTTTATATAGTTAAATTGTTAAAGAGGTAGTAAGACAGGCAAACATCAGGTGAAAATCATAAAGCATAGAGGTTGGATCTGTACAAGTTTTGATGGCGTCATGTTAAAGATGTGTGCCTGGGTGTTTCGTTAAATATTTTCAGTGGAGTTTCCTTCCTAGTAGAATGATTAAACAGAATATCACAGAATCACAGAATAGTGGAGGTTGGCAGGGACCTCTGGATGTCATCTGGTCCCACACCCCTGCTCAAGCAGGACCACCTAGATCAGGTTGCCCTGGACTATGTCTGGACAGCTTTTGGATATCTTCAAGGATGGAGACTCTCCAACTTCCCTGATCAACCTGTGACAGTGCTTGGTCACCCTCACAGTGAAACTGTTATTTCCTGATATTCAGAAGGAACCTCCTGTGCTTCAGTGTGTGCCCATTGCCTCTGGTTCTGCCACTGGGCACCACTGAAAAGACCCTGGCTCTGTCTTCTTTACACCCTCTCTTCAGATATTGATATAGATGATAACGTACACATCAGTGAGATCCCTTGAGCCTTCTCTTTTCCAGGCTAATTAGCTCCAGCCCTCTCAACCTTTCCTCATAGGAGAGAAGCTCTGGTCCCTTTAGTCGTTTTTGTGACCCTTCACAGGACTCTCTCCAGTATGTCTGTGTCTCTCCTCTACTGGGGAGCCCAGAACTGGACACAGCACTCCAGGTGTGGCCTCACCAGTGCTGAGTAGAGGGGAAGAATCACCTCCCTTGATCTGTTGGCAATACTTTGCCTAGTACAGCACGGGATACCATTTGCCACCTTTGTCACAGGGCACATTGCTGGCTCATGTTCAACTTGGTCCACCAGGACCCCCAGATCCTTTTCTGCAAAGCTGCTCTCTAGCTGGGTGACCCACATGAAGCATACAGGGTTGGAGATATTGGCAGGAGAGTGCTAAACTGGATTAGAAGGAAGTGAAGCAAGAAGGGAGGTGGCCTGTGGCAGACAGAAGTGGATGACCGAGACTGTCAGGGAGAGACCATCTAAGTGCAGATCATGGGAGGCACTTTAATGCCATCCTGTACCCACCAAAGCCACTCAAACTGTATTTGGTAAAAGCTACATATGTGGTGGTACATGAACTAACCCACACAGGCAAGCTGCTCATAGAGCTTTAGAGCATTTTGCAGAAGAAACTGATAAATATGGAAACAAAACAAACCCCAACTCAACTGAAAGTTTTGAAATCCTTCATTTCTGAAGTCTAATGCTTGGGCTAAAGTCTACTGCTTTAACAGATTTACTTTTATAACAGTCACCAGCCCTAGGCATGCTCTATAGAAATTTTGAAAGTAATTGATAATTTTGCAATTATATTAAACAGAAAAAAACATGGAGTTCATGCTCATTAGCTCAAAATAGTCAAAAATATTTATACATACATGTCTTATGTACTGATAAGGAAATGAAACAACTGAATAAAGATGTATTATTCTGAACATTCCTTTGATGTAAGTAGAACCTACATCTTAGAACACAAAAGAATATGAACAGCTGGAATTCCTCTTTTCAAAAAATGGTAAAATAGTAATGAATTAAAATACTTTCTTGTCACTTATTCTCTTTTTCCATACTTCATTTTATGCATAGAACTATCAAGGTCCTTAATTTCTGAGGCTCTAAAAATAATTATTCTTAGAGAAACAGACAGAAGGCTTATTTTATGCACTATACTTTGTACCTTTTTGCCTTAGATAATTAGAGATATTAGTTCATGATTTGCAATACCTAGGGAATACTGTCATTAGCAGAGGAATGTTCTCTGGTACTCTGAGGAAATTAAAAGCTTTTAAGAGCAATCACTGTTAATCACTAACATGCCAACATTATATACCTTCTGGAACTGGGAATGATATATAGACAAGACACATTAAGTGACTCTGTATTTTATTTGCATTGTAGGCTTTTGATTAAAATGTTGTTTTAAAACATCCCTTTGCATGACTTGACTTCATTACAAAATACTTGACACCTAAAAATTCTGTAAGATTTACACTTCTTCTTGTACAAGCTATTGAAAATATCCTCTCTGATTCCATAGTTAGGGTTCATTGTACTTCTAGCATTATTATGATTTGCTACACAATTTTACTTGAGTGGTAAATGCTGAGGGCAAGAAGGTGGCTCTTTTTTTAAGGATGAAATACAAACTAAATCAAAAGGTGATAAATGCAATTAAATTTATCTTTATCTCCAGCTCAGCAGGAGAATTAGCACCTGTACAGTTACAGTCCTCATAACTGAGTACACAGATTAATATTACACACTCATGATTTACAAGCAATTCCTATTATTTTAGGGGTTTTTAATATAAAGTATTTTCTATCCAATGTTAGTGGCATATAATATCCCATAGAAGTATTAACCACATGAAAGATAGTAGAATAAAACAGAGAGAAAAAGGCTATTTTTTAAGGAAGCTTTTTTGTATAGTATTAATAAAATCGGGGACAGCTCTTACTTTTGGTATAGAGCCAGAATTTTATAAAACTGAGTAAAGTATTTTTTGTCTTATTTCTCTGCTGTACTAGCCATGGGTGCCTTACATGCCAGCACCAAGCCCAGCACCACAGGAGAACAAATGCATGCTGGAGGCAGACTGCAGTCATGCACTGGGGTCCTCAGTGAGGATCCCCCATAAGTAAAAGCATTGGACCTGACAAAAGAGCATATCACGAATAAATCACAAGTAGTGTCTCCTAGTAAAGGGATCTGACAAGTGTCCATACTTGGGGAGCTAGGAAGGGCTGAAGAAGTCATCTATTGCCATCCACCTAACAAAAAATTCCTCTAGTGCTATTTATGCCAATTACTTCTTGTGATAGCTATCATGAACACAAAAATAAAGTCTTTCTTCTCACTGATCAAATTCTTCAGGACTTACATTGTCTACCATTATTTCATCTTTAGACAACTCAAACACAATTTTCAATCTGTCCTTGAATAAAGTCCTTCTATACTGTTATAATTATTCTCTTCTGCATGCTTTCTAATTGTATGCATCTTTTGGTCGTTTAAACAGGCTAATTGCTACAGAGTGATTGTTTCCTCACCTGACCAGACATGCAGTATTTACCTACTGAATCCCATGAGCTTCACTGCTAGTTGCTCTTATACTGCCGAGATTCCTGTGGCCTATCCTGTAATTGTAGGGTAAATTCATAAAGGAAGTGCTTACATTCTTGAAACCTCTATATAAGATCTGAAGTTCCTTCTTTGTGAATTTACTCTGTGCTTCCAGCAATTCAAGAGCTTCGGGTCTATGTCGTACTGTGGCCATTTCCATTTCATCTTCTACAGTGTCTGCAGAATACAAGAGACAGAGAAGTAAATCTCAGCAAGAAATATAGGATGTAGAAATATCTAACCTTGCAGGAAAAAAGAAAGTTAAATTACATTCTTTTAACAAACTACTTTTGCAGCTTTAAAGACAAATGGCATGTTCATTTTGAACCGAGAGGGAAAGGGTATCTGTCTGCTTCAGTGGGTGCACAGAACACGGAACAGCAGCCATGATCCAGCAGTCTGGATGTTATCACATCAGTACAAATAGCAATAAACTGGAAAGCCAACATTCTGCAAGGGCATGCATGACATATTCAGAATGACTTTTCTGTTTCTATGACTCTCTGAGTAAAGAAAACAATTTTATAGAACTTCAGTGACTTCAGAATACTAGAAATTTTCCCTTGGTTAGTTAATGGATGTGAATTCACTGTATCAGACTGGGATTCTTAATGTTCTTTTACCATGAAGCTGTGTTTTGGAAAGCGTGTGATTGATGTTGCATATTCAACAGTGCACCTTACTTTGAGTACTGTATAACAAACCCTTCAGGGCAACATGATTATTCACAGTGAGCAGCCTAAGTGGGGAACATCAGTATTTTTGTGACCGTATCATTAGGTGAGTAAGAATGTGGATTTATACACATTCAAGGCTTACAGCTGAGTGCAGCTCCAAAAGAATGAAAGATAGCAATGCATTTTTTTCCAGGTAGAGTTTTAAATGTGAAAGTTCATTAAAATAGCTAAAGAAACTTAAAGTATGTATTGGGGGTACCAGCCATATACCTGATCAAAAATATGAATGTGTGTATCTGTTTTTAAATATTCCCAGCATTAAACATAGCTTATATAGTATGCCAAACTAATCTAATCAAATCACTGCATTATTCTGGTTTAAGATTTATACCAACTATGGAAATGTAACTTGAGAGCAAACAAACACACAGAATTGTCACTTCTTCAAAGCTGAGGATATATATTTTATTTCATCAGAGTGTGGGACTCTGCATTCTTAAAATAAAGTTTTATACAGTTCAATTTTCACAAGAGCACAATATTAAAATACTCCATTAAAACTGTATTATGCTTGGTTCTTCACATATTTTTGTTCTGCTACAACACAGTAATAATAGCTTTCAATGCTTGGGAAAAATCTGACATCAGAAGATACAGTTCAGCTAAACAAAAAATGAACAACCTTTAAACAAATATAATCAAAATATGCAAATTATTTGAATAAATCTTCACAAAACTGTAGGGTATTGTCTTTTCTCCTGCCAAAGAGATGTTGCTGTTGGCACTCATCTCAGGAAAATTATCTGTGTCACCCACAGTCTTATCTCAGAATGCCCATTGTGTCTTAGCTTGTGGACAAGCTTTAAGATGTTTCTCTTTCATTTTTCTTTATAGGTTATCTCAGATAGATATAGACCACTACCATCTTTGTGAAAACTTTCAGTCTAAATGCTATTGACAAAAAACCCAACTGACAAAACTACATTGACCTTATGATGTTTGATAATAGTTTTAAGGGGCCAGTATCAGAAATCACAAGATTATAAGAACGTTTTGGTTCTCTTCTTAAAGAGACACGCTGAGATGCAAAGCCCTTATAGACGAAACTGAAATAAAATTGGTCCAGATTTAAGAAGCTGTCTTCCAAATCTAGGGAAGGTGTAGCAAAGTTTTTGAGTCCCATTTTAACTCTGCATAAGAACACGCAGGGTTTATTTTGCAAGGTTTTTAAAGCCTTTGCATCATATTTTAAGAGATCTATCTTTCACATTCTCTATATAGTTACTAAACCCCCTATAACAATGTCATGCTGTAGATACACAGGTGAATGGTTTTTTGTCAACTGTAAGTCAACACTAGGTGCTTATACTAAACTGATGAGTCAACCTGTAAATAGATATTGTTGTAAAGTCATCTGTGGTTTACATGTCAGGAGTTACATGGGATTTAAATGGGCTATTGTTTAGACAGAAAGGGACTTGACTGGAAATGAGCTCTCTAAGCACCCATTTGTGAAACATCTGGCTAGCTAGAGAGACATCTACAAGCTGTTCTAGAAGCTAAAAGAATACACATAATAAATGTGACGCTAGAGATAAAGGCCAGGCAATGTGATGCTGAGCATATTTGGTATATCCTTAGTAATAAACATTTTTATTGTGTTTTAATGATTCAGTGAGAACACAGAAGACTGCAGAGGTGATGCTGTCTTTCTGTTAAAGAAAACTTTCCGTATAACAGTCTTCTCACACTCTATTTCTGTAGTCTCTTATAGATTATTCAAAAATAAGATCACCATAAACTTTGTTATAAGAAATCAGCCAACTATGCTGATTAAAATACTACAGCATTCATGAGTCGTTTGCAGGTTTTTAATTTTTTTCTTCACACTTACGGTTAGTGTTATCCAGGCTGGAATAAAATTCTGTACTTTTAAAAATGTGTGAAAATATATCTGTTTCTAAATATTAAAGATTTCTATGGCATTAATGAAAAATTAGTTATTTCAGTTCTCCAGTTTCTTCAGCCTAAGAAAGCTAAGGGTTCTCTTTTTTTTTTTTTTTTTTTTTTTTTTTTTTTTTTTTTTTTTCAGAAACAAGCTCTTATTCACTCATTGATATAAACAAAATATTCTTGCTGATTTCACTAATGAGTAGTTTTCTTCCAGCTAAATAGTAAAAACATTTTTACAGCGTATCTGCCACAAGAGCTATGCTTTGAACCTTTCTTGGTTCATTAAGAAACAAAATGGTAAAAGCAATGCAAAAAGCAGACGTATTCTTCAAATAATGGCAGTTCGAGAAGCATGTTCAAAGTTAGGGCTCAGTTCATATATGTAAAAATTGTACACATGCATTTGTTTGCACAAACCCTGAATTATCACTCCCCTATCTATTTAATAACTGCATGCACACATTATTTTATTTTCCAGAACATTCTTGACTCTGGTCCTGTCTCTACCATGTGCATTTAAAAGTTTATCTACAGAAGGATGGAATTAAGTTTGGGCTTAATAGGCTAAAGCACACAAACAAGAAAAAGCATTCTTTGACATGCTTTGTTGAATGGGAATGCTGAAATAAACTTTCATCTATTCAAGTAACCTTTTTCTGAACATATTGATAGAAGTTAAGCACATTAGTGCAAATTCAGGCTACGTATATTTCAAAAAATTACTCATCTTAAAAATATTCCTCTTAAAACTTCTGAGGAATTCACATTATGTGGCTGTTATTGTAGGTAGTGCTGGCTTCATTCCTACTACATTACCATGTTGCTTCTTTTATGATAGCAGAAATCAAACAGCACATTGTCAAAATGGAATAATGTGTCTACAGTTATATTCTTATTTAATATTTTTACTTAATATAGCATTTCATTATTGATGAGAGTACAGAGAAAAGTGCTGAAGGAATTATTTTTTACTACTTGGTTCCCAAATATGAAATATTTAATGCAAGTTTTATTTTGACTTCTGGTTTATAAAACACTGTCAGCAAGAAAATGCAACTTTTGCATGGTCAAGGTTATTAAGACTGACTAAATATTTATTTGTTACCTGTGCAGACAAAAAGCTCACATCACAACGTGCAAGGAATAAGGATGTATTGCTTTCAATCCAACTTCAAACAAAAAGATCAAACTTTCTATGCCTCTTATATTCTATTTCCTCCTTCTATTCTATGTCCCATCATTGGAAGTGTGGAAGGTCAGGCTGGATGGAGCTTTGAGCAACCTGATCTAGTGATAGAAGTCCCTGTCCATGGCAGGGGTGTTAGACTTTATGGTCTTTAAAGGTCCCTTTCAACCCAAACCATTCTGTGATTCTATGATTCCATGATTCTATAATTCTTTTTATAGTCTAAGGCTATATTACTCAGGCCACATAGCTGAAAGCAACTTCTACATAATGAATTACTAGCAGATGCCATGACAGTAAGCTATTTTCAAGTAAAACACAGCTGAAGCCATCATGCAAAATTCACTGTGCATCCACAGCTTTAGTGTTTTTCATCTCTGAGATCTCAAACAGTTAAAAAGGAAAGCAAGTACCACAGTCTTCTCTAGGAGCATATGAAAAACAGTGGAGTGAGGTAGCAAAAAGAAAGTTGAGATCCATACCCCTGAAGTCTAGGCACTTTGTAGAGGCATCTGTTTGTAGTCAAGTTGCCTTGAGTTGTCCCATAATCACTGGACAAAAAGAACTGCTTTTGGAGGTATTTGTTTTACCCTACATTGACATACTTTATCAGAAGAGTATACAGTAAACACAGGAGCACAAAGCTTGTAAACAGGTGTTCAGATTAGTGCCTAGAATTAAGCCAAATTAATCTAGACTGAACTGGGTCCACAGGGCTATTTTAAAATCAGTTATAGTAGCCAAGTTATATAGGAAGACATTAGTATTATTACAATAATTTATCACTATCTAGGTATATATGTATCTAGGTACATACATATCTAGGTATGGATGTGTCCATCTCCCTTCCTCCCTCCCCCTCTTTTTATGTGTTAGCTACCCTGGAGAGATGTTATTTCTTCACAGCATATCAAAACATTAAAGGTACCATCAGTGCGGTTTTGCTTTATCTCTACATTCCAACACTTTGTTTTCAATCTAATTTTTATTTTTCTTTCAGACACATACTTTAGGTCTCGTTCCGTAAATAGTTTGATGTTATGTAGTCAAAGCCTGCAGAGCCAAGCCTTTCCTCCTAGAAAAGTACTGCTGATACTATCCTGTGTATTGGATAGCAAGCACACACGGATATATGCACACTTCTACACAAAAAGACACCACTTTTCAAATACATTGAGAGCAGATATTTAATTTAACCAGTGAATCACATCTCAGTTAGCTTGAAGAGCCTAAGTGCCAATCCAGCAGTTCCTATGCGGCAGACCCTGGCACTGTTATCTTGCCATCCAACTCTGAACTGACAAATCTGATACCAGCCCCCAAATCTGTTCATCACTTCCTTTTATACCTCAATAGAGCAT